AGTGTGGAGGAGTGTGGATTTGGACACCAAGTGAGGGTGAAGGAAATGTCAGAAGTATCAGACATCAGTCTCAAGTTTCTTGCAAAGTATTTTTGTTTTGTTTTGTTCTTTTGCAGCATTGGGAATTGGCTCCGGGGCCTTCATACTGAGCTACAGCTCCAGACCTTTTATTATTATCATTATTATTATTATTATTATTTTGGGGTTTTTTTTCCGGTACTGGGAATCGAACTCATGACCTCACGCTTGCCAGGCAGGCGCTGTGCTGCTGAGCTAAATCCCCAGCCCCCTTTTATTATTTTTTGAGACAAAGTCTCACTAAGTTGCCCAGGTTGGACTCAGACTTGCGATCCCTCTGCCTCAGCCTCCCAGAGTGCTGGGATTATAGGCATGTGCCACCACTCTTTGCTGAAATATTCCAACTCAGGACTACTAATGATACATTTATTGCATGTTCAAGGTTCCTGATATGCATTTTTAAAAAGGCATGCAATTTTTTTACTCTTTACTGTGACTTATTTATTTATTTATTTACTGTAGTGCTAGGGACTGAGCCCAGGACCTCATGCATGTTGGGGAAACACTGTATTACTGAGCTGTACCCCCAGCCTTCCATAATATTTATCTATCTATCTATCTATTCTTTTTTTTTAGAAAGGATCTTCTTCTGTAGTTCAGGCTGGCCTTGAACTCACTGTGTAGCCCAGGCTGTCCTTGAACTCATGACCATCACCTTCCTTAGCCTCCCAAGTGCTGGGATTACAGGCGTGTACCACCCACCATACCTGACTCATCTATGATAGTTTTATATAAAAATATCTAATGTGTTAGCCAGCTGATATTTTCTTCTGAAATCTTTGAGAAAAATTCATGGCCATACTGTAACCATGCTTTCTGTGTCTGTCGTCACACTGCCACATATCCTGGGAGACACAGATCCCAGATTGAGGAGCATAAGGGCCCTGGAACAATGGGCGGATGGGAGCGAGTGAGGGGCCTTGCACATAAACTCTGTCACTCCTGGCACATGGCTCAAGGGCAGACCAGCAAAGAGAGGTCAAAGAGCAGGTAGGCTTGCAGTATCCTGCATTTCATGCTGCACTGTTACCCACTACCAGCTACCCATAGGCAGTCTGGACCCCAAAGGACGATTACAGGCCTGATGAGTGCGGCTGCATCCATGCCTCTGTTTCCAGGGAAAGGACTTCGAAGGGGGCGCTGTGCTGCACCCTGTAGGGTAGCTGTTGAAAGCACGGGCTGGTTTTGAATCCTGACTGGCTTACTTACCCCTTACCAGTTGTGTGACCTTGAGTGAATGGCAGCTTCTCTGGGCTTCAATTTCCTCCTCTGAGAAATGGAGGTAACAGCACCTCTCTCGAAGGACTGCTGTGATGTTTAAATGCGATCGTGCATGCAACATAATTAGCAGAGCAAGTGTTCACAGACAATCGGTTTGCCTACTTAGGGGCAAGGGTCAGTTTTTGTGTTGTGGAAGGATTTCAACACAGTTCAAATATTTGCTCCTTTTAGCCCCGTCTTTGAAAATAAGAATGAGGAATCCATACCCGGAGCATCTCAGACAGGAGAGAAGGGACGCTCTAACTGAGCTCATTCCAAAGTGGTAGATCCATCACTGGCAGCTGAAAATGTCAGTGACAGCACTGAAACATGTCCCTGCAATGCTGGGGCGTGGACGCCACCCGAGGCCTTGGGGGTGGAAGTGTGGGCACTTGTGGCAGGAGGCTCTGATGAGAAACAAGCAGTACCTGTGAGGAGGCAAGTCTCCAGCATTCCCACCTAACAGAGGCTCGGAGCAGGTCAGAGCACTGGACCCAACACCCGCCCCTGGGATCCAGGACATTTTGCCAAGGCCCAGGACTGAACTCTCAAAGGTCATTTCCTCCCACTTCATGGAGGAGTTCCTGCTTGCTCCAGATGCATACCCGTGTCTGGCTTGAAGGCTGCAGGGTGAGGAACGGGACATGGTTACTACCTCCATTCTATTGGCTCGTAGAGGAATTTGATCCTAAGATATAAATTTAAGCCCCTTCCGGGTGCTGGCAATTGAGCCTCCCTTTCCCTCTGCAGCAAAAATTCTGGCTGAGACAGGTCTTTTCAATTCATTGCTGATGAAATTGCCTATTATCCACAGTGCTTTGACAACAGCTTGAAAAACTGTGACTGTGCCAGGACCACAATAGTCAGAACCCGATTTCCTTTAATTGGCTGAAGTCAGCAAGGCAGGAGTCAGGCTCCGGGGGACTTGTATAGGGTGGCTGAGGAGCATGAGCTTCAGGCTCTAGCTCAGGCCAGCAATGTCAAGGAAGACACTGGTGTCCTCCCGTAGTGCCCCCTGTACTGCCGAGAATGGAAAACGAGTAGCCCACTCAGGAGAGTTTCAGAACCTTTGGGAAGCGGTTGGTGAAACCCAGCTGAATTGGGGATGGGGGCGGGGACTGGCTGATGGCCCCGGCTTCTCCTTTGATAGGAGGATGCCCTTTTGCCCAGCCATGTACAAGTGCATGAGCCTGAATGAAGTGTTCTCAGAGGTGAAGGGTCTTTGTCACACGGTACAGCAGCTTGAGTACCACGTGCCAAGTACTGTGTGGGTGGACACCCAGGATATAGAGCCAAATAGAAACTTTCTGATCTCAAGGGGCTGCAGGTGTTATTAGAACAGAGCTACAGGGGGCCCAAGTTTCTGTACCGTTCACTGGGGCATTTTGAGTGTCAGCATGCGTCAGTTTTCACGAGCACTGACTTCCACTGAATCCCAGCTTTGGTGCTGTGGGAGAGTGGCTCCAGCAGGCAGCCTTCAGAAGAGCTCTGCCTCAGTCTTGGGCTGTTCTGTCAGGCTTGGCATTGGGAGACACGCAGGCCAGACCTGGCTGCGCCTCTCGCCTCTGTCTCCTCTCTCAGTACTCTTTCCAAACTTCTATAGCCAGGACCTTTGTAGACATAAGAAAAGTCAGTCTTTGGGAAGAAATGACTCATCAGGGTCAGTGCACATGATTGTGTAGTTTGTGTACCCAGCCAAAGAGGCGAGGGGGGCTGGACAGAGCTGAAATTACCAACGCATTTGCCTTCACGGCTCCATTGCCCAGAGGGCATTTCCCCCCTAATTCATCAGTGTGACAGGGGCAGTGGGAGAACTTTCTCTAATTAGTCCAAGGGTGACTCAGGCTGGGGTGCTGGGGACCCATGATTACCGGAAGGGATGACTGGAAGGGATGAAGAGAACAGGAGAAAGAAAACAACTTCTCCCTATTAAGTTCTCTGAAAAGCCGGAGAAATTGGTTCCCCTTCAGTCCCCTATCTAAATCAGTCTAATTCAGTCCCCTTCCCCGTAAAAACTGCCAGAGGCTGCTGCATGGGAGTTGCTAGCCTAAACTTCAGGGCGCTGGCACATTTCAGTTGCCCAGCCTAACCCCAGGGAGGGCTGGCATGTAACTTTGTCTCCATCTGGTGCACGGGCAGGGGGCACACTGTAGTTTTCCAACCTTTCAGCTCTGAGGTCTGCGCTGTGGTAGCCAGGTGAGCTAGGGGTCCCACAGTCAAGAGAAGCGGGCGGGCAAGAGCCAGTACTTGGGAGAAACAGGATGTTTCTAAGGAAAGCAAAGGGGATCCCCAGTGTGCTGGCAGGGTGATGGGAGGAACGGGGCCCTCAGCTCTCACCACTCACCAGAGCGTGGGTCCCCAAGCGCAGAGGCACAGGAGGAGCATTCAAAGGCCTGCCACCAATCAACAATTCAAGGACACAAGGACACTCACAGAGAGGCACTGCAAAGACTTAATGGGGTAGTAAGATGAATAGATTTAATCATTCTTGTTTGAAAAACAAGACATAAATTAGTGAATATATAATTTATATATTTGTGTGGTATATATACTATATACAGACATTAGAAAATGTTCCCCTCCGTGAGGCTGAAGGAGAGGTGAATGATGGCGATGGAATGACACAGGCGGGGTCTTGAGTGGCACAAGTGTAGGATCAAGAAGTTGGGAGAAGAGGAAGACCACGTGCACACACCGGCTGGCAGTGGTCATGGGGGAAGGGCTCCCCACTGGCTGCATCTCTGGCCCATTAAACAACTTGGTCCTATGGGAGGAGAAGCAAGGAGGGAGGGCTGGCTTCTGTAGAAGGAGCGCCCTTCCTCCTTGCCGGGAGAACCGGCCACTCTGGGGCTTATTGTGCTAGGGAATATCACAGATGGGCAGGGGTTCAGCACAGTGTACATCTTTATAAAACTCACAGAGGAACGAGAGATTTCACATGGACCTCTCACGCAGCAATGAAGGAGCAAATGCAAGGCGACAGGGTGTGGGAAACAGGGAGATATGGAGAGGTGGACGAGAATCAATCTGTACAGAAGAAACATTGGCTTTCTTTGTTCCCTCCAGTGGGACAATTGGTAGGGACTCCGTGTCTTCACTCCTCGAAAGGTGGGGGGGGGGTTGGCAGCAGTGGCGGCGGCAGTGGTGGTGGTGGTGGCAGCGGCGGCAATAGGAGATGTGTGTCAAGGAGGATGCTAAACAGTGTGAATTCCCTTCCAGATGGCTCTGGAGAGGGAGAGAGAGGTGCAGGACTGCACCGGGTAAGGCGCTCAGCTTCTTTTCTTAGAGAGACAAATCCACAGGGTCAATACACAGCCAAAAGCATATACTCAGGATTAACATGTCACGCTAGCT